GTCAGCTGCGGTGTGGGGCGGGAGAGGAGATGCGTGAGACCCGTTCTCCTTCTCTTCCTTTGGCGTCTTCTCTTCTGAGGGGAGAGGGAAGGGGGGCGCAGGCTCTGGCTCAGAGGAGATCCCATGTTGGAGGGTTGGCGCGTCGTCGGCGTGGCGGGTCCTCAGGACTTCCCAGCAGTCCCGGTTTTTGCCGTGTTTACTCTGGGTGTAAGGGGTGAACAATAGATGGCTTGGATTTGGATGTTTCTAGTTTTAAATATGCTTAAATGTGTAGGGGGCCGGTTAGCTCAGTGGTTTGAGCACGGTGCTGACAACAATGACAACACCGAGGTCGCGGGTTCGATTCCCGCTCGATCCCCCTGTGTTGCCTCGTCTAGTCGAGAGGTGGCGTCCCTGCCCATGACAGGGAGGATGGACTAGATGATCTCTAAGGTCCCTTCCAGCCTAGGCCATTCTGTGACTCTGTGATTCTAGTTAAATGTGTTTAAATATGTTTCTAGTTTTAAATATCTTGAATCGTCAGTGCTTGTAAATATCTAAAGGGTGGGTGTCAGGAGGATGGGGCCAGACTCTTCTCCGTGGTTTCCAGTGGTACAACAAGGGGCAATGGTCACAAACTGGAAAACAGGAGGTTCAGCCTAAACATAAGGAAGTAGTTCTTTACTGTGAGGGTAACAGCAGTGGAACAGGCTGCCCAGAGAGGTTTTGGAGTCTCCATCTCTTGACACACTCAAAACCTGTCTGGATGTGTCCCTGTGGGATCTACTCTCCATTTTTTGAAGACCTAAACTCTCTTGTTCTGTGTACTAGCTGCTACCCTGATAGTGCACCTCCAGCCCAAACTGTTGCAGTGGGTTGTCCTGTACAGCACTTTGATTTCGTCCTTGCTGAATTTTCTGAGGTCCTTGTCAGGCCGCTCCTGGATTTTGAGCTCTCTGAAGAGCAGCTTTGCCTTCCAGCATGCACAACTGCTCCTGCCACTCAATGAAGACACAGGCCACCCCTTTCACCTGGGTCATTGCTGGAGGTGCACATGGTACTGGCCTGGCACTGACCCCTGAGGGTCACATCGCTCATAACCAGACACCAGTTAGACCTCAAGCTGTTGATGGCTGCTCTCTGAGCCCAGCAGTCGCATCTGTTTTTCACCCGCTTTTATGCCACCCCTCCAGTTCACAATTTTCCTGGGGACTGAGGTTAGTTTGTCTGCTGCTTCTGGACTTGCATACCTTTGAGGCATCTGTC